ACTTCCTTCCCCCATGACACAATGTCAGAGAAGGCCTGCCAAAAAAGAAAATTTAAATAACATCTGAAGTCTCATGACACAGTATCCAAAATTCCTAGGATATAATGCAAAATCACACATCACACCAATAATAAAGAAAATTTCAACTTGAGGGATTAAAAAAAAAAATTAACCAACAGATGCCACACGGAGATGCCAGATTTTGGAATCYTTTAACAAGGATTTTAAAGCAGCCATCCTAAAAATGCTTCAAAGAGCAATTACAAACATGCTTGAAACAAATGARGAAAAAAAAAAAAAAGAAGAATATCTCAACAAAGAAAAAGCAGATATAYAGAACCAYCAAATGGAAATTTTAGAACTGGAAAATTCAATAACCAAAATAAAAAAGCTCAATGATGAGCTCAATGGCAGACCTATATGGTTTCRTTTGTATATATGAGTTAAGGTTTAGTCAGAGACAAAGAACTCCTAGGATCTAGATATAATAAGAGMTGTATTTTAGGGATTTTTCAACTTATGAAGCCAATATAGTACTRATACCCAAAACTAAAATATTGGAAATATATTTTAAGAAAAGTATAGGCTAATATTCCTCATGCAAACAGATAGGAAAATTCTTAACACATCACTGAATCAAATGCAGCAATTTATACTAAAGTTAATTAAAACATGACTGACCAAGTAAGGTTTACCCCAGGAAAGCAGTTTAATTTGACATTATAGACATATTTGCAAAAGAATTTGCAAAAACACATCATATTTGTAAAAGAAAARCTATTATTGTCTCACTAGATGCAGAACATCTGACAAAATTCAATATCCACCTATGATTTAAAAATAGAAAACATTTAGCAAACAGATGAAAAGGAATTTCCTCAGTTTGATAAAGAATATCTACAGGGCTGGGGTTGTGGCTCAGAGGTAAAGTGYTCRCCTATCACGCGGGAGGCCCTAGGTTAGATCCTSAGCACCACATATAAATAAATAAAATAAAGGTATTGTATCCAACTACAACTAAAAAATAAAYATTAAAAAAAAGAATATCTACAAAAATCTTACAGCTAACATCATATTTAATGATGTAACATTAAACCCTACTCCCCTAAGATCAGGAACAAGGCAAGGGTGTCTATTCTCTATGCTCACCAAGTCTATTCAACATCGTAGTACTAGCCAATAAAACAACACAAGAAGGTCTGGGGATATAGCTTGGTGGTAGAGTGGTGGTTCCCTGATATCCAAGACCATGGGTTTGACCCCCAACACCACACACACACACACACACACACACACACCCACACACACACACAATGGAATACTACTCTGAA